ATCAAATAATCATACAGATAAAACTCAGTGATGGTGATGCACCTAAGATGTTCATCTATATTCAGTGTCGAAACAAACAATATGCGTCAATTGTATGTCATTCTGCTTAAGGTTATGCATTGCTTGTAATGCTTATTTCATGCTTTTGTGCATTTGAATTCTTTGCACACCCAGAATCTGTAGCAAAAAGTACCCTTCTCTGCAGTTGTTTACTCGGTTATCCGAATTTCATAAAGGTAAATCTGAAATTACTGTTTCAGAAAGCGGCCGAAAGAGGAGGCTATGGGGGTGAAAGATACGAAAGAGTTGAGTTCCAAAAGAGAGTTGCTGAGCATTACCATTCACTCCGTGATTCGACATGGAAGGTAACTTATGCCACACAAAAATGTTCTGACATAGGGCCCTGTATTTGCTTTGCCACGTTTGCTTGCAACTCAGGGTCCATGTGAGGTATATAGTCAAGGAGGTGCAACTTGAAGTGAAGCAGTATACATGTCTAGAATTTACGCAAGAACAAACTGAGGAACCCCACCTTAGATTCTTTTGCAACCTTTTTTATGTGAACCTCAATGGCTTACTGCATTTCTTTTTCTGTCATGAAGGTCGTCGATGGTTCCCTTCCCATGGAGACCGTGGAAGAACAGCTAAGAGAACTAGCCATGAATTGCATTTCAGAATGCCAAGACAAGCAACTTACCAATCTTCCCTGGTAGAGTTCCCGCGATGAAATGCCAAACCACATAGGCACATCGGCAAGATCTCTCTTTAGTATGTGATTGACTGTTGCTCTGTTAGATCTCTGAAGTGTGTGATTGACTGTTGCGATTGACTGCTGCTCCGTTAGATCTCTTTTAAGTGTGTGATTGACGACTGTTACTCTGGATGAGATACAGGCATATCATTTCTTTCCCCATTTATGTGTGTGTGATTGACTGTTACTCAGCATTGCTGATTGCTTTACCCATTTATGAACTCCGACACCTGGTGCAGATCCTCGATATATCTATGAAGTGGCATTTTTTTCCCACGGAACTTTATATAGTGGTCTTGTGACCATGTACTGAATCTGGTGTGCTTTTTATGTTGAGTAAAATGCATCTTAAGTCCTAAAACTATTGGAAGTGTGTCAGTTTAGTCATATAACTTCGAAACTGCAGTTTTAGGTCCTAAAACTATTGGAGGTGTGTCAATTTAGTCCTATAACTTTGAAACTGTGGTTTTGGGTCCCAAAACTATGTAAGTTTGTTTATCTCAGGTCCTAAGCTTGCATGGCCAGTATTGACCCGCCGCCGTGTCGATTGGAGATGCTTGAATTGTTGCCACGTTGACCCAATGGACCCACCAAGTTGACTTCCACGTCGTCCGTCGTCCCGCAGTAGTGACTCTTTCCCATCTGTGGCCATGGTCGTGCCCAAACAACAAAATGCATGACCAACTCTATGGCAAGGATATCGGGGCAAGGACACTGTCATGAGAGAGAGAGAGGGGCGGGATGGCGTCCTCCATCCTGATTGGCTCGGTGTCTCCCGGCGGCCGCGCCTAGGGATAGGGATGTTGTCCTCCATGCCGGCTGGCTCGGGGTCTCCCAGCGACCGCGCCAAAACCTCTTAGCGAGGTTGCTTGTAGCTCATGGGCACACAGGTGGAGGGCATGCAGGTTGCAACACACACTGCGACATTGAAGCGTATGGACCACTTTTGAGGAAGTAAACACATATAAAGTGCTCTTTTGAAAAAAAATGCACCATAGATGCTGGACATGCAAGCTTAGGACCTGAGATGGACAAATTTGCATAGTTTTGGGACCCAAAACTACAGTTTTGAATTTATAGGACTAAACTGACACACTTTCAATAGTTTTGGGACCAAAAACTACAGTTCTACAGGACTAAATTGACACACCTCCAATAGTTTAGGACCCAAACTGTAGTTTTTAAGTTATAGGACTAAAGTGACACATCACCAATAGTTTCGGGACTTATGATGCATTTTGCTCTTTTATTTTTTATATGGAATCCTATATAATCCCTCCCTTCCATAATTCATTTTTTTATCTCAGTAGCTGCATGTGATCTATACAAAGTACCTAAGTAGCTCATCTCCCCTACTTCTTGTTTATCTCAACATGAACACATGCCATCTCATTAAAAGCCCACCTCAACATGCATGATCATTATTAGTTGATCCCGATTACTTCTATTGGACTCAACATGCACACACCTCAACACGACACGTATGTGAAAAAGTTTTCATTATATTATGCAACTTATACTCAATAAAAACTAACTTAAAATGATCAAATGCAAATATGTAATATGTATTGTTAGTTTTAGTTAATGTACTCCCTCCGTTCATTTTTATAAGATGTTTCAGACAGGTAAGATAGAACTGTTTGGGTGATGTCTAAATTGTCTACAACATCTTATAAAAATGAATAGAGGGAGTATTAATCTCTACTACCTAAAAGAAATGCAATGTTCCGTTTCCCCTCTTACGTTCGTCCGACGCCGGATTTTCGCTTGTCGCTCGTTGCTCGTTGCTCCTCGATCGTCCGCACATGGGCCAAAGACCAACGCCCAGCCCGAGCGAGCCAGCCTACGCACAATCACACGCACTCCTTCCTCCTCACGGCCTCAAACGGGCGACGCTAGGGTTTCGCCCAGCCCCAGCCTCGGCCGCCGCTCGACCTCGGCGACCGCCGCTAGACCTCCACGCCCATGCCTTGACCTCCTTGGCTCCTTGGCCGCCACTCGACCTCCTTAGCTCCTCGGCCGCCGCTCGACCTCCACGGTAGCGCTTCACCAACACTTGCTTCCCCGTATGCCCTTCATTGATATGGACCCGTGCTCCTCAGCCCTAATGGTGTTGTGCTACACGTGTGCTCCGCGGCCCCTCCTCCACGGTCTCGTACAGGAAGGACGAGGGCGAGTCCTGGTTACTGACGTGTGTGGGTAAGATTTTTCATTGATTTCTTCTCCGTTGGAAATTGTCCAGCCAGTATTGATTTCACGTTTCATTTTTTCTTGTTGTTTTCACTGAATGAATTACAGGAACACACACCTATCATATGCCCTAGCAGTGCAGGCCTGAACACATGTCATATGTTGGAGTAGATGCAAGTATATGAATGATGAATGGGTGCTGCCTTAAATCATCAGCACATTAGTGGTGCCTGATCCAAGTCAAACACTCGCCCTGGACAGCCTATTCGCCGAGCTGTAGCAGCTGGGCACCCATCTAGCCGCTCTGCTGGGTGTGGCGTCACTCCTGTTCCCGGCAACAGGTACTTCTCTACCAGACAAATTCACTTAGATTGGGCTGCTGCAAGAGTTCCTATTGTTGATTTTGAATGTTTTTTTTAAGGAGAAAGGTTAGTAAATGATGTTGTTTTCTACAATGCAAATTTAGTCGTCGGCTTTGCTATTGAGTGCCAAGGTGTAGATTCAGAACTGCGGGGTTCAACATAGAGGGCTTCACTACAATATTCTTGCCATGGGGTTGATGGATGTGAACGGTCTAAATAACACGGCCAATGCGCTTCGTCGAATATTTTTGAATGTCTGCAAGCAAACCACGTACCACACATTTTAGAAGGTTTATTTTTCTACATTTATAATTTTTTTTCCACATTTGTACTAGCTATGTATCAATAAGTATTTCTACATTTTTTTATTTGATGCCAAATTTTAAGGAACGTCAATCTGATGTATTTTTACAGCAATCATCATGTTGATTTGGTGCTTGCCCGTTCGCAACATACCTTGGTATTGTCGAAGGGTTGGATGATTGTAAACCGGATGTACCATTAACGACAATGGCGTGGATGGATTGGGGAGACAAATAATACGGAAGGACAAAGAAGTAGGATGATTTGAAGGTTAAAAAATTCTAAAATGCTATTTTATGTGCATGAGGATTCTAAACAAAACACGACTAATGTGAAACCAATTGGATATTCATGCCCCCGGTGCAACGCACGGACAATTACCTAGTAATCTAAACATTCATATTTCATACCATCAAATCTCACAACAATAGATTGCAACTAAATCTCACAGTAACGCGGGGAAGTAGTTATCATATATAGATGGGGGCGTCCTGGGCGCCACTTTTCGTTTTTCTCCACGCCTTGCATGCTTCCATGGAACAGGGCATTCTTCTAATTCAATTCTCGACGGTTGATCGTCGGCGGCTGGTCCAACCCTTGAATCCCGTTCCACTTTACGCTTTCCAAAATGAAAAACACATGCGGAGTCGTAGTATATTGCCAGCAGTACTTAATTTCAAGACTCCTTTTCGCACGCCTGGACTCACGTCACGTCCGGACTCCGGCGAGCCTATAAAACCACACCGGCGACGCCATTGCTAACGACAGCCACCGCACCTTCACAGTTCACACTTGACAATCTGCTCTGTTTCTGCTCGAGTGAGTGACTGATCGGTATTCGATAGCTAGCTAGCAATGACGGCGCGGGGGATTGCAAGCGGGAACGGCAGCACGGCCGTGGTCGTGGGCGTGCTGCTCGCCTGCGCGTTCCTCCATGCGAGGGTGGCGGAGTCGGCGGAGTTCATCGTCGGCGACGGCAGCGGCTGGTCCGTCAACGCCAGCTCCTGGGCCAACGGCAAGCGCTTCTTGGGCCGTGACGTCCTTGGTACGTACACCCTCTGACCTCTTATGTTTCTAATATAAATGTAACTAAGGCACTTTCAAAAAAAAATTGTAACTAAGGCGTTTTTGCAGTTTAATACTAAGGCGTTTTTGCAGTTTAATACAGGGTGTGTCTAGGCTTCAGACTTAACCAAGCCTTAGTCACACGGAGTACTAGTATACAATAAAGAAAAGAAAAACTAAAAAAAATGTTTTGTACGAATCTTCCTGCAAGATCTAAAAGATATAACATCAACTGAGACGTAGCAAAGTCTCTCAGTCCACTAAGACTTAGCAAAAACTGTTAATTTAAACCGAGAGGCGGTACTTATGATGCATACATACATGGATCAATGTATGCTTGCTGCATGAAAATTAAATTGGTGGTGCCAAGCTCTGATGCATGTCCGGATTTGGGTACGCGAACGGCGCTGGACGGCCCGACGGCGCTGGACGTGGTGAAGGTGTCCGCGTCGGAGTACGAGGCGTGCGCCGCTCGGCGCGGCGCCAAGGTGCTCAAGTCCGGGGCCGACCGCGTCACGCTCGCCCTCGGCCCAAGCTACTTCATCTGCAGCGTCCCCGCCCAGTGCCAGGCCGGCATCAAGATCGCCGTCGTCGCCAGGAAGCAGGGCCGCGTCGGCGGAGCGTCCTAATTCAGTCTACATATACCAAGTTCTCGGCCCATGTATCCAATATTTATTACCACTCCATCATTCGTGCCTCTTGTGCTACGTTATAACATGTGTAATGATTTTGTACTCTTATATACAATAAGCGAGCAAGAGGCATGTGCTGATTATCTTTTTCATCTGCTATCACACGCTGGTTGGAAATAAAAGCTCTGCCCAGAGCTGAGGACCTGTGCGTATTTTTTGGGTCCCGATAACTGCCACACGTGTGGACGTTAAGAAATTTGTCCACACGTTCTGTGTGGTGCCTAAGAGGACTAGCCCACACGTTTGTGTGTGGGCAAAACAATTAGCGTTCACACGGCTCTTTTTTCCCTTCCGGTCCCTCTTACACGCGTGCGTGTGGGCGAAAATAGATAACGCCCACAAATTCGGTACGTCAGGCCTCGTACCTCGTGGTCCTGCATGTCTCATGTGACACTTTATCGCGTGCACGCAGTTGCCATGGGCCGGACCCTCGTCTATGTTCGTTTAAGTGCAATTGCTATGTTGCTGAACTACGGTTGCCATATCGGACAACTACAGTTGCCATGTCTGCTCAACTGCAGTTGCCATCTCAAGTCAAACTTCCAGATTGCCATTTTTTAAACAACTACAGCTGTTGCCATGTGTGGTCTGGTCTACTGCAGTTGCCATAATTTCAAAACTTTAGGAGTTGTCACCTACTAACACTAGGCGGTTGCCGTCTAGCACTGAAAAAATGGCATGGCAAAAAAACATGTTCGGGTAAAAGAGAGAGTTGCCATGTGCTCACAAGCACGTCAGGGCAGTTGCCATGTAAAAAAAAAGAGTTGCCATCTGATTACATGCACGCTAGGGCAGTTTGCCAAGTACCATGCAAAAAATATGGCAACTGGCATGTTTGGATAAAAGAAAGAGAGAGTTGCCATCTGCTTGCAATCACACTAGGGCAGTTGCCATGTACACTGCAAAACGCATGGCAACTGGCAGCTTGAGTGTGAGAGAGGAGGCAGACGTGTGGACGAGATGGCAAACGCCGACACATCATCCCTTGTGCGTGACTGAAAACTGGTGTGTGGGTGAACTGCTAAACGTCCACACACCGGTCCCTCCGTGTGGCAAATTGGATGTGTGGGCGAACTATGTCTCACACCACACACGCCTTGTCCTACGTGGCACACAAAATCAGCCTTTTTACATCAACATTCGTGCAAAAGGCGTTGGACGATGATGGAGGCGTGTGGGCGAGTTGGCTAACGCCCACACGTGTGGGCGTTAACATTTCCGTATTTTTTTATGTAACAGAGCAAGAAATTTCTCCAAGTGGAAAAACAATGCATGAATCGTCAACGTAGATGTAACCGAAGTTCGTCAATGCTAGTACTCCCTCCGTCAGGAAATACTTATCGTGCGACTAAGTATTTCTGGACGGAGGGAGTAGAATATAAAACCAACATATACTGGACTAGAAGTATAAGCTTGCGCATCTCCCGATACCGTAAGCTTTACCAGTACAAAGCATAAGTTTGCAATCCCAAATTCAGAAGACAGACAGAAGTAACAGCTTAGACAGGCACGCTTTTTTGCTACTGTCAACCAAGAGTACAGCTCAAGAACCACACCGCACTGCATGCCCTTTTGATCATTTAGACATAGCTGTCAATCAGCGACTTCCTCATGTCATCGACGATCGCTGTGGGCTGGCCTTCTCTCAACTTGAAGACGCTCTCGATGACGGACAGCTCGGTAGCCGTTGTGTCTGAGCCACAGAAGGCGGTCCAGTCGTTCACCGTCATGCCCGCAGCAATGACCTCGCTACCACGGTTCACGGTTCCAGCGACAAGAGGGACTTGGAGGAGTGTGGACAGCTCATCAAGATCTTCAATGGATGTGTGAGGATGGACCTGTGCCGCAAAGGAATTGCACATTAACAACCTTAACCAATTTTTGCAGAAACAGATAGATCAGAGGGATGCAAATGCAGCAACACCATACCAGTCCACCCCTGTTAGAGAATGCACAGTAGCTGCCAACAAGGATATTTCCTGCAATCGTCTGACGGAACACCTCAACCCCAAGCACATCTGCAATAAGCTCCTCAGTTGCCTGGGGAACCAAACAGGAGATACTTTAGTTGAGGTAAGCTAGGAAAGGCACAGGTTCAGCAAATAAACATCACTAGGGATGTATAGGCATACCTTGTCAAGGTCAGGGTGTGTGAGCGCAACATGGTCATTGCAGGATATGCAATTGCCAAGGGCAGACAGCCTCTCATCGATGCGCTGAACAACCACTTGATCAGGTATGCAGTTCCTCAGATGCTGAAGCTCTAGCAAAAGTTCAAAACCCCATAAAAATAATAAGCATCACAAAAATCATAATATCACTTAACTACACAAATCATGCCTCTCTAGAAGCAAGATGTCTAAGAACTGAAACATCAGAAATGACTGAAGAAACCAACATCTGTAGACATAACGAATCTCTAAGCAACTTCTATGTAACTCCAATGGTATCAACAGTCTTTTAAGTACTAAAATCAACTTGAAAATGAATGCTGGTAGATAGCAACTTCGTATTCAAAAGCATATTAAACCATAAGAGAACTGTGCGGTTCGCAACAACACACAAGACATAACAGAATTATGTAAACAATTACATTGTAGATTGAGGTTCCGAAATAAAGTACCTTGATCAGTGGTTGTGTGTGGCAAGAGAAGTCCATTCTTGTTTCCTGGGGTCATCAAGGTGGTGGTAAGTACACTACAAGTGAGTGAATAGCTCAAATGACAGGCTATAAGTTCAAAGGCTAACCAACGCAGAGGCGACCAATTATTCTAGTGCCACCGATAGAGGTCTTGACCACAGGAATGACATCTGCAAGCTCAGACTCAAATGTACTGCATAGGTATTCAAAAGATCAATCAGTTAGAGTTAGTTATTCCTCTGCTTCCACCAAAAGTCCAAAAAGCTAAACCAAAGGAAACATCCATTGCTAACCTGTAGAAATTCTCTGATCCTCCAATTGCAACCAGACAGTAGGCATTTGTGAGCTTGGAGAAAACACCAACTTCACAGTTGTTCTCAAACTGGATACCTGCAGAAACCACATAGCAAAGAACACGGTCAAAACCCAAAGGATACGAGGAGCAGAGTTGCCACAAACAGTACAGCAACTCAGACTAGAAGGGTAATTACTTATACCGAAAATCACATATGAACTTCTAACACTTTCACAGGCACAAGGGCATCCACTTGGAGGTGTACCACATGATTAAACATCACAATTTCATACTCTCAGATCACAGCAACACCACTTGTATACGAAATGGTGACGGGGTTAATCCTAGATAAATACAGCAGCAGCAACAGCTGCTCATCACAAACTCAAAGCTAATCTAATTATTAATTCGAATTCTAATCCTAAATACCAAAGAATAAATCATGTCCAGACGGTCAACTATCTTTCTGCAGGGACGAAACCACACCTTCTCTAAGACGCTGCCTAAATCACACCCGTTCTCAACATCTAGCCACGGAATCGACACTTCACGACAGCCCCGAAACCCGCACCGCGGCCGTGGCGACCAATCAATCAATCAATCCGAGCAACGAAAAAATCGAGAGGGTTCGACAACCACAGCCGCCCCTTCCGGTGCCACCGAATTCGTGAAGGACAAAACTCGCGCTGGAAAAGGGATGGGTAGCTTACGGGTCGCCATGGTCGATTCCTCTTCGCCTCAGCCGCTTCTCGTCTGCAGCAACAGGCGCGCACCTGCAGATCAAACGCGCGGATGATTCAGCGAGCAGACGGGCAGGGGAGAGGGATCGCTGGTGCGGGAGAAGGAAGCGGGCGGCGAACCGGGAGAGGGGCGGGGGTCGAGAGGCGGTGGCCGCTGCGGTGGGAGCTAGGGTTTGGGAGCGCGGCTTCCGAGAGAATGGGGAACGAGGGGAGAGCCGTGGCGGCGTGGTATATGAGCACGGGCCGCTCGGAGAGACGGCGGCGGAACTGTGTGGGCCGAACGGGCTGGTCCTATTAGGTCGAGACGTCACAGCCGGCCCGTGCTGATGCTATGGGCCGAGGCTCTCATTCGTGTGTTCGGCCCACCCATCGCTGTTGGCCTTCTCTCGCTGCGAAATGTTTTGAAGAACGTAATACACTCTTACCTCAAGAAAAACGTAATGTACTCTGGAAATCCTCAATTCATAAAAAACTGGAAGTGACATTTTTTTGCGGGTAGAAAGTGATATTTCTAACTTTCATGAAAGAGCGAACCATGGTCAGAGGGGTAGTGGTATCCTCAACCACCAGGGTTCAAGTCCTGGTGCTCGCATTATTTATGGATTTATTTCAGGATTTTCAGCGATGCGCTTTCAGTGGGAGGAGACGTTCCCGTCGACGACGAGTCACCTACGGTGACTTCGTAAATCTCAAAATGACATGTCGGCTCAGTCTCTCAAAAGTGCTCATAGGGGTAGGGTGTGCGTGTGTGCGTTCATAGGGTAAGTGTATGCACGTATGTATGAGCGCTTGCGTCTGTAGTATGTTAAAAAAAACTTCCATGAAAGAGGAATTAACTTCCGAAATTTTGAATTAATTTAACAACAATTTTCATGAATAGCAATATAAAAAGTACGAGTTAAGATGGTAATTTTTTTAGATCGTCTTGTGTAGTCTTATAGTTATTCTTCCAAGGTTGTGGTAGAATATTATAATTTCCTCTAATCACTCATATGTTGCTAAATATTTACTGTAATTTTGTAAATATCAATCAAATAAATGGTATACCTTCCTCTGATTACTCAGACGCTTTGGAAACTTTATTGTAACTCTATAATAAAAGGTTGTGATAAAATGAAATACATTTCCCTAATCACTCATATGTTTGGTATTTGTTTCATCTTGATTTGATCTTGTATATATGAGAAATATTGTGTTCTCCGTGCATACGTATATTATTTTTATGTGATATTTCTACAAATAAAAGCTCATTTGTTTTTGG